TTCGACCTCCCCATCCAAAGCTGTTAGCTGACCACCTCGCTCAACAATTCCTTGCTGAAGATGGCCGACTTCCTCCTTTAGCGTGGCCATCTCCCTCTGAAGCTGAGCAATCGAAGCCTATTGTTTAGCGTTATGGGATCGGATCCCCTTAAGGGTCTTCTCCTTAGCATCCACCTCTTGGTGCTAGCGGGCTTTGACGCTATTGAGTTCGGCCTCCAAGATGACAACCTTCTTTTTCACCTCTTCCTTGGCTGACTTCTCCTTCTCTAGGTCCGACTGCCACCTCCGCGGTGAGTTATGCATATACTTGAGCCGTTCATACAACTCTTGCTCCAATAGAGCCCCCTTAACCAAGTGGGCCTTAAGAGACAGATGCAAGCCGTGGCTTGGCATCCTCTTCAAAAATCCCTCATCCTTCGGAAGGGTAAACTACCGCACTACTATGATTAGAGTCATTAAAGACCCCAGAATTGAACTCTCTTTGTCAAGAGAGGACGGCGGGATGAACTTGTCATCCTCAGAGAGTTCCCTCCTAGGGGTACAAGGGCCCATTGGTACTCCCGCCAACATAGCTTCTGCCTCCTCCTAAGTTTGGAAGTTGACATCCAAAATGTAGTGGGGAAAGGCCAAACACTTCCCCGCTCTTTGGCAACTTCACCTGCCTCAGCCTGCCTCAGATTCCAGAAGAGGAGCCGCTTGCTCTTAATCACCCCCAGCCGACCCGACCGGCTCTTTGCCTGGCCTGTGGGATGGCCTGAGCCCAGAAGTCAGCTCGGCAGCTTCTTCAGCAGAGGCCCCAGCATTGGCAATTTTTGCTATAGGGACCGCTTCCTTAGTTGGTTGGGAGGTATCGTCAATGATGACGACTTTGGGTTATTGCTGCTCCTCGGTCGGCTGTTGTTGTCGCCCTTCAACCTGCTGATGTTTTGTAGGTGGTTGGGCCTGCTAATGTTCTATAGCTGGTTGGATCTGAATCAACCCAGTTGGCCTACCAGACCCTCGGCCTTTCTTGGCCAACTTCTTAGTTTTAAATCACTGCCCCAGCTGAGCAGTGATTATGGCTCGCTTGTCATGGAAAGCCAGCCGTGCTTTCTCCGAGAGGAATGTTCCGCCCTATAGTCTCTTCTAGGGCCTGGCGGCGGAGCCTGACCCCTCACCTCTTGCCTCCCCTTTGTGGCCTCCTTCAAAAGGAAGTGCCAGCATCCCAGCCCTAAATTTATCGCCTCAGTATGTGTGGCTGAGGAGACAGACACCATCCGAAGTGACGCCACGTCAAAGAGGTTGATCCTCTCCCGAGACCCAGCGTAGGAGCAGATCTTGTCTAGCTACCACCTCTCTTTGGGCCTGAGGAGCTGTAGCCTCAATACATCCCTATTTATCTCTAGCCAATTAGGACAGGCGAGCACACCGTCGGTGCCGAACACCCAGACAAAATGCTCATTCATGTTCCTATTTGACTCGGGAGCATCCTTCACAAATTTAAAATTTTCACTATAGTGGAAGAAATAATGAGGGTCCCTCTTCATCGACTTGACGCCGACCAAAAGCCCGAATAGGCATAGACTTGGCTCAACACCGACTTGGTGGCAGGTCACCACGAAACCTACCAACACTCCGATGGCATTGGGGGTGAATTAGTAGGAGAAACCCCCATAGCGACGCACGCTTCGTTTATAAAGGAGTGAAGCGGCAGTCAGAGCCTATAGTCGAGGTGGGCTAAGTAAAGCGATGCCCTATTGTTGCCATGGTGATACATCACTTCATGCCTCATCGGCGCCTCCAAAGTGAACGCCCGCGGGATATCATAAAGTCCATAGTATTTCCCGAGTTCCACGACACAAACTTTTAGGTGGATTGGACTAAGGAGAGCGATCCTCTCCTTGTTGCGGCCAGCGGAAGAACTTTGAGAAGCCATAGAAAATTTGTGGTGGCAAGATATTTAGGAAGATTTGAGAGGAATAAGCGCTAAAGGTTTGAAAGCAAGAGCTCGTAAAGAACTCTCCGTTATCCCCAATGGGTTATTTATAGAATTTCAAGAGACACATAGAGTTATCTGAACGGTTGCCACATTTTGAAATGAACAAATGTGATTCGTCTCGAAATCTCAAGTGGTTCACATAAAATCCGAAGCGTTGTTCCCCTTTACTCCATGATGCTCTGCTCAAAAATCGAAGCGACGTCATTACTCTCTGATGCCTGATAGAACTTTCACATCATTTCAAACAGTAACGTTTCACTTGCCTAATAAAGGCTTCTAAAAACTTGCTATATGACATCCTCTCGGCCCTCGATAACTGACTGCTAATTTCAAGAATGTTTCTCAGTCACTTGTCTCAAGAAGTTCAAATGTCGACTAGTAAATAGTCGGCCCAACTGGTTCTATTTGACCCTATACTTAAACAAAAAAACCAAAACCTCAGACTGGTTACTCGAATTTGAGGCATATCACCTTAATAAAAGGTGAGGCGACTCTTGAGCCAACATATATGGGTTTTTAAGTCTATGCTAAGGCCAAGTCATTTAGAATTATATAAAGAATGCACAACACAAAGAAGCAATTTCAAGTATAAAAGTATTTCTTCATTCGTTGATAAAGTATCTTTACAAATTTACAATGTATTTATACATACAACAAAAGTATAGAAGAGAGAAGGTAAAGAAAAAGCTAGAAGTCCA